ATTTGATGCAATTTAAGATCAAATAAAAATACATTAGCAAATAGATTTATATCATTTTAAAAGCTTGTGAATTTTAATTTAAGATGTACTATCCTATTTTACCAGAGAGGTTTAAAAGAAATTGATAACAGTTTGTAAAATTGAAAAACGAATAACCAGTAACTTTCACAGGTGGACTCAGTATGCACAAGTATCACTCATGAATACATGGAATATATTATATTAGAAAAACTTTCCAGATACCTATGGAAAAGTATTCACCTCTACAACAAGTATTCATTTACTACCAAATATCATTTTATATGAAATCTTCTATTTCTGTATTAAAGCCTAATGAGAAAGATTAGTGCATATAATCTTTCAAAGTTTTTAGCCACCAAGATTATAGAACTATCTATTTCAAATGCTCATTTCCAGATGTAACTATGAAAACATTAATTTGTCATGTGAACAAGACCATAAATAGATGACCATGTGAGAGAATCTTAATGACATTTGAGACATTTTTTGCCACGATAAACATGCTACCAGGATTCCAACATGGCTCTATTATAGCAGGGAATCAAATTCTAGAAACACTACATGTAAACTTAATAAACACGGTCACACAACATAAACAACCCATGCTCTGTAGATGCAGATAACTTTTCTTTTTTGTTATGAAGAATCACCTGAAGTGTAGAATTGTTTGGTTGCTCAATCAGATGTTACCATGCAAGATTGACCCATTGTTTAAAAGAATTTTCATGAAAAAAACTGATATATCAATGTCATATACATTCTCTATATACAGAAACTCTATGAAACTCAGAGTTTTATACATCTAGCTTTAAGATTAAAGAATATGACACTCACAGAATCATCCATGTACATAATATATGTGTCTGTGTTTGGGAGATAGACATGCTTACCTACATATCAACATACATGTACATATGAGGTATGCAAATACATCGTGTACCTTATGTTACTTATACATGTATATGTACCTATTTGTGTTATATATATGTATACACACATACACTTTTATTCATAATCACATTTTTTGCTTCCTTACACATTGTGAGTTTTTTTGCATATGTTTTTTGATAAATGGAAAATTATGTTAAAAACCACAATAGCATATGGATTGTATAATATATAATAGAGTATTTATGGATAAAACATCACATACTGTTTGCTTTCATAATGTGGAGATGGAGTAAAGTGGGATACAGATGAGCCAGGCTGGCCATATGTTGATAATTTAAAATTTAATGGATTTGTTCATAGTAACTACACTATGATCTAGACTTTCATAGTGTCTGACATTTTATCTAATTAAAAAAAATAAAAATTAAGCTCCTTTATATGACTAAATAAAAATTGGATGTTGAAGAATTAGGAGAAAATTATTTTATGTCTTTAAGATGCTCGAAGAATAGTTTCGGGTGGTCATGTGTAGGTGGCTCACACTTCATTTCGGTCACAGGTAGAAAAAGGTCAATATTCAAAGGGATATTATTGCTTTGACAATGTGTAGTTCACATAATTTGTTATTGACTTTTATTTATTTTCCCTACTGTATTGACTAGAAGTGTAATGAGTAGACTTGGGAGGTATGTTGCCACTTTGGCTACTGTCATCATTCTTTGAGAAAAAAATCCTTCTAAAGATGTGACTGAAATACAAAAAAAAAAAAAATTAGTTGAAGAACCTCTTTTTTTTGTTATTACCAGAAAATTTCTGAATTAGAAATAGTATAATATGGTTAATTCAGTTAAATGGATTAATTAATGCTTATTATGATTTTTATATTCACTGATGTAAACAATTATATATATATTTTTCTGTGTAAAAAGCCTAATTATTTTTGAGAGGAGGAAAAAAACAGTATTTTGTTTCACTTTGCTCTTATATTCCATTTACTTGGTGATGTTAAGAAAGATTTCATAAACCATTTTAATGGTAAAACAAGAAAACATCTGATGCATTCCCAAAAGAGTTGATAAATATATCTGAGTCTTTAAAAAATGAGATGTTAACTCTGGTGGCCAAACTCATCATTCACAGTGTAAATTAATTTCTCAGGTGCACTGTTGCTGCATAAGTTAGTTAGTGCTGGTGTGGTTTTACCTGTAGATGATTAAATTTTGCCCAGTGTCTGGATGAAGGATAGGTCCATCACACTGGTTTTATTTTCTCCAAAGTGAACTTTTGATACTCAGATTTTATTTTACATTTTGTCAGTTTAGAGTTGAAGGCTTATAGCAGAGGAAATTAACAAAATTTAATAGCAAAGGAAATAATGCATACAGAAGATAGCAGTTGTGTGCTATTTATTTTTGCAAGCCTGGAATTTCAGTTTGTTTGGCTTATCTTTAATCTTTCTTGAATTTTATCCTTTTGGATTCCAGTATTTGGGACTCAAATTTTCACTTAAGCTTTTTCTACAGAAATATTCCTTATTGTAAAGCATTTATTATTAGCATTCTTGTATATTTTTGGTAATAGATAAAATGATGTATTTATATATTTGTGTATAATTTGAAAGTTAGGCCTGTGGCATTATGGAATAGGGTATACTTAATAAATACAATCACATTTGTAACAAATTTTATTTTTATTTATTTTATTCTGTTTTCTTAATTGTGATTTACTTATATTCTGTAACTTCATTCAAAATCATTGGTGATCATGCCAATTATTTATTCACAAATACACAAAAAGAAACAGTGATATTCATAAATAAACAGCTTTAAGAGTAGTTGACTAAGAAGCTGTTGAGTGCAGACAGTACACTGAAAGTAGACAGTAGAACCATCCTCTAAGCACCACAGCACAAGTATTTTCTTGAACTTTATAGACCAGCTTTATAGTCAGCTTTACTAATTAGAATACTAGATACATCACCCTTTTTATATTATAAAGAATGTTAGAAATTGGCACTTAGTAGCAAAATTGAAGACATTTAGAAATGGGACTCTCAGATGTCATTTAGAGATTATCCTGCACACTTGTGAAAACAGAATTCACCAGGGTATCCCCATTGGCCATGTGGACCTGGCTCATCCTTGATGTTGCCTGGCTCCTTCTCCAGAGCTTTCCTGCAGAGCTGTTGCTAAACGGGTATTCCTTCATAAATGTAGCTTAATTATTCAGGTTTAAAATGTATTTAAGAGCTCAACAGCTTTATTGATGATTTCTATTTCTAATAAATTTCTGTATATGTAGCAAAATTTTGTCTGAAGTTGTTTTAATTATAACCTGGCAGCCAAGTTGATAGGTGGTTACTAGTCTTCACCATCTTATATTTCTTCAGGGGCTTCTGTTTTTTTTTTTTTTTTTTTTAAATAAAAACAGACATAAAGGTTATAAAAACAAGTAATTGGCTTAAGAAAATTCATGAGGAACAAGTGACTGAGAACATAGCTCAGTGGTACAGTGAGCACTTAGCATACATGATGCCCTAGGTTCTATCCCCAGCACCAAAAATAAATGAATAAACTAATAAATAAATACAAGGGAAAAATGATAGTGTTGACTAATTATTAAGTTTTTATGTTTTAATATATATTTTAATAATGATTTAATGTTATTTGTTGGATTTTTCTATTGTAACATTTGATATATAAAATTTTGAAACTAGAGTTTTGTTATCATATTCAATGTTACATATGATTGAATTTACTTTTAATTCAAGTAATTATATTCTTAAGTAATAGATTTTAAAACAATAGAATAAATTTTATATTTTAATTTTATAACTTAAAGTAGGTTTGTGTTTGGAAGGTCATTTCAGAAATTGTTTTCTGTAGACATAGGAACTGAAATACCTTTAAGCTGTGAGAGGAGGAAGCAGTTACACTACACAAAAAAATGAGAACAACCATTTAAGTGATTAAATGTTAGAAGTGAAATCTCACAGAATATGGTGTCAGCCATTTTTGTTTCAGTACAAAATCTAACCTATGTTAGGTGATTTCTGCTATAACTGCAGTTTCATTAGAGGAGTACCTAAGTCCTAAAACCCCAAGGCATCACAGAATCAGCCTAAGGAGCTCAAGTGTAAGGGATGTTCAAGAAGCCTGAGAGGAGGAGGAAGATGAGTCAACCAGATAATTAGGGTGGGTGGATTAGGCTTTATGGTGTTCAGAGGGAACCAGGCTCACTCTCAGGGGAACAGGGGGAACAATCTACCTTGGGATCACTGGGTATTGTCAATTACAGATTAAGAATATGCAGTCCATAGGTGTCAGCAGAGACCTGGGGTAGGTGAGATGAAGGCATATGGGCAGCGGTTGGGTAGAATGGGCTTTCTAATATACATAGGAGAATTGTGGAGGCTTATGTGAAATTTGAGGGGGGGGAAATCTGGGAGGCAGAGAGAAGGTTCAAGGCATTTTGGGCTCTGAGTTAGAAGGGAAACAGCTTTGGCTTGGAAAAGGACAGAACTTGATTCTCTACAAAAGTCCTCTAGATGGGGATTCATTCCCAGTACAGTGCAGATTTCCTGTGAAACTTGACTTCTAACATAATATAGACTTCACATTTTTAAAATTTTTGTTTAATTTGGATTTCAGAAATTACCTCCAGACAATGAGGTAATATTATATGATGTGATAATTTTAGAAGTGTTACTTTTGTTGGTAACAATTTTATTTTTTATTGTTTGTAGTTTGGGGTGCCACATGACCTTCTGATATGCATTCACATTGCAGCTGATTGAATCAAGCTAATTAACTTATCCATCACCTCACAAGCTTATTTTCCAATCCCCAATTTTAATATTATGCAGCTTCTAGACTTTAATTGCTCAATAATAGTGGGAAAATGACAAATGAATAATTAGTTATTACTGTTTCAATATCACTTTAAAATCTATGGTTAAGTGGAAGGAGAAAAATGAGAAAAC